GAGGAGCAAATGAGAATAGGTCCTTGCACACTGCTGCTGTACCATGGAGGAATTTTGCATACCGTGTTCAGGAGGATAGTGACAGTGGCATGGATTTGGGGTATCTGTTCTTCTCTCACCACCCTGAACAATGCTTTTCTGGTTGTGTGCAGCTGAATCCAGAGCTCAGACTCTGGGTCTGTGACCTGGACTCAGTGCTTTTCAGGTCACTTGGTAGATTAGCTTTTTGATTGCAGGAGGAGTGAGCTGGAAAGTGGTATCTAATGGATGATTTTGGAAAGCTGGGGAGGCCTAAAGGGGGGTTGTTGCTAGAGAGCAGGTCAATACACTGAACAATGAGGGAGGCTTGAATGGGACAGCCCAAAGCAAACTCTCATTGGGTTGCAGAACGCAATGATGGAAAGGGCCTACTGAGTTACCTAGTCCCTTTTCTAATCAGGATACTCTCTCAAATACTTTGTCCAGTCCACCTTCAAGTGACAAACTTTCACATTTTTCTTGCAGAAGCATGATAAAGTCTAAGAGCTCTCACTGGCAGTACATTCAGCCCAAGCTTGTCTGTAACCCCACGGACAGCTCTAAGCCTTTCCTTTCCCTTCTCAGCCTTTCTTCCCCCAGTGTCTCCCCTATCCCCTTCCTCTTAGTCACCATCCAGACAAGCTCACAGTATGTGCCTTAACAGGTGGGCAAAAGTGAGACCAGACTCTGGGTGAAAGTAGGACACAGGCAATTCCATAGAAAAGTGCAGTCCTGACTCTTGGGATGGGATAGAGGCAAAACATCCATCACCATAGGAATGTGCGACTGACCTTTCTTGCCACTGAGCCTGGACTAGCAGTGAGTGAGAAAGATGTACAAAGGATGAAAGCAGAGTGAATTGTGTCTACAGAGTGGTATGCGATGTTGCCGCCTCTGGTTGCGTAAGACAGACATGAGTGGGAAGTGAAATGCGATTGCCAGGGATTATAAGGAAGTGGTTCAAGATGCTTGATTCTTGTTTCTAAAAGGAGCTCTTAAGCCTTTGTTGTTCTTGGTGCTTTGGATTAGAGAGCTCACAACATGCAGGAGACGATGAGCAGTACCCAAGGCTGCTCAGTGAGGTGTGAAGGGGGACCCCCACCCGGAGGGCGTTAGTGTTTGGGCATCATGGCAGGCCTCCACCTGCAGTAACGCAGGGTCAACTGCCTCCTAAAATGGCAGGAAGCTAACAGGCTACCCACATTTCCAGGTGTCACTGTACTTAAGCAGGTTGTTTCTGTGGAGTGTCCACTAGACAGTGATGCAAGTAGGATAAATTCTCCACCCCTACAACGCTGATATTAGTAGGCGGTAGATGCCCCCTTTCTGAAGGCTCTGGTGGTTTAGGACAGAGTTGGGACCCAAGCAAAAGTCCAGTGCAGTCAATGAAAGTCTTTCCATTGATCTTGGAGGGTCTGATTCAAAGCCAACAGTGAGTTTCTGTGGTGATAGACACAGTGGCATAACATGGAGGGAGAAAGAAGATGGTGGGGGGATAAATGAAGCAGAAGCTCCTGGCGGGGCACAAAAGCAGCCATGGGCTGATCACACTACTACAGTTGGCATGGTAGGAGTCAGCATTTGTCCTAGGCATTGAGCGGCTGCCCTGGGCACAGAGCTGTGCTGCTACATCTCTGGATACACAGTCCTTCTATTTTCACAGGCTAGATACCTCTCAGCCCATAGAGTGCATGTTCTCCCAGCTCTGCCAGAGACAGGAAAGGTGCTTCAAGGTGGTATCTCTCCATTACACTTGTCCTCTAGCCCTGCTCTCTCGCTGACGTGGCTTGTTCCACAGCTGCTGCTTTGTTTTCCAGTAATTTAAAAATAAATCTTCCAGGTGGCCTCAGCAGGTCAGGAGCACAGAGAATGTCCAGGTCATCAGTCTTTGAACAGCGATTGTGCAGATGCCTGCAGTGTTCGAATGCCCTGGCCCAGAGGTTTGGAGGTGTCCCTGCAGTGGTTCTGCAGTGAGTCATCCACTGTCACGCAGACCGACTTTAGATCTCACAGCTGCTGGACCAGGCTTAGAGGCAGTGGTAAAAAAGATGGAGTCTGAGAGTCTCCCGTAGACAGTTCATGGCTTCTTCTAGTGCCTCTTTGCCTCAACTTAATGCCCTGCAGCCCCATTCACTGGAATGCAAATGCCACCCCCTAGCCATGGCCTAGAGATGCCTACCTGCTGCTGCTCTCACATGCCACTCCCAGAAATGTAGCAGGGGATGGGAATGCTGTCCCATGGCTGCACTCAAGGCCTCTGTGTCCAGCACCTGGAGTGTGGTGGTAGGGAAAGCCCCTGGAGTTTCCCTGCCTCATTTCTAGGTTTGGCATGTGCTGGCAGCGGGTGTTTCAGGAGCACTGGGGACATGGGATGGATGTGCTCTTACAGGCAGCATGGTCTAATGCAGCGGTTTCCAGTCAGTGGTACAGGTACCACCAGCGGTACACAGGCAACCTGTCAGTGGTACATGCTAGCAGATTTATCATAATTACTTTATATGACAAAAAATTGCTGGTGGTACTTAAGGTTGAACTGAAAAATTGCTGGTGGTACTTAAGGTTGTATTATTTTAAATTGGTGGCGCGCAGTCTGTCAGAGTTTGGGAACCGCTGGTCTAGTGGATGGAACACCTGATAAGGACACAAGAGACCTGGGGCTTTTTTCTGACTCTGCTGCAAACCTGATGGTTGGTTTAGAGCAAGTAATTTCACCACTTCATGTCTGTTTCCCTATGTGTGAAACGGGGATGATTATAGTGACCTCCTCTATAAAGTGCTCCAGGATCTGCTGAGGATAGGTGCTAGGTGAGAGACCGTTTCATGACTAAAGCATAGGCAGGTGTTGGGTACCCACCCTAAAGGGCCAGCAGTGTTTCCTGGTGTGGCCAACCCTGTGTTCCAGCAAGACAACTCTACAAGGACCTGGGCACTATTTTTCCCTATACACAGGCACAGCATTACTCAATAGCCAGAATACAGATCAAGCTGACTGTGATAGCTTTGGAAGATGGAGTCAAGGGATTTAAAGGGACCAAACACACACAAAAGGTTTGGGGACTAAGCAGGCTGGCATGACATGACATCCTTTTCTGTTTCTGTTGCAGAGATCATGCACGATGTGATCAGAAAGGTGAAGAAGAAGGGCGAGTGGAAGGTGAGTGGAGGAATACACACAGGGGTTGAATGGGGCACAGATGGGTAGGACCATGGGCAAAAGTGTAGCAGGAAGGGCAGGGCTGGGTTGGAGAGCAGCCTGGGAACTGCTGTACCAGCGGAGAACAATAAGGCATAATGGAGGGGTCCTCTATCTGTCACCTGTGGGAAGAACGAGGCCAGTAGTTGGTAGCACAAAATATGCCAGGGATTCTCTTCCATGCTTCCAGCTGGGACCACTGTGGTTGCACTGCAGTTAGTGTGACAGCTGGCACATGGCAGAGGATGGGGACTCAAAAAGCAAATGTCTGAAGGTGGCCAAATATCCTGTCCTTTGCTAAATGTAACCCAGGATATGTACTGTGGGGCAGAGGCACAGAGCAGGGAGTGAGGGAGACAGGACTCGACTAGAAAGGGTGCAGCTGATCAGGACTGATGGGCATGGGCAGAGGTAGGTCAAGAGTGACAAGGTGGCAGGTGGGGCATTGCAACTTGGGGGGAGGTGCTGTGGTGTAGCTGTGTGAAGCTAGTGGTTCAACACCTTTGAGACAGTAGCTCTAGAAATGCTCCAGTGCGCAGAATGCAAAAGCAAGGCATGCTGCATGTCCGTGGAGGCAGAGCTGCGAGGAAGGTCCCTGCTTGTGCTGGAACCTAACCAGTGTTACTGTCCCTTTGCTGTCAGAAGTGTGGCAGAGCACACCCAGCTCATCACAGTACCCATGTGCTGGTGGCCCCTGCTCACTCTGCATCTCTCCCTCCCAGGTGCTGGTGGTGGATCAGCTCAGCATGCGCATGCTCTCTTCCTGCTGCAAGATGACCGACATCATGACTGAGGGGATAACAAGTGAGTGCAAAAGGTTTCTGGCTGCTTCTGCTCATTTAGGTGGCTTCAGCTGAGCCACCCAAAGTCATCTAGCACTAGGGAAGGGTGATCAGTAGAAGCTGTCTGCTGTGAGAGCAGCTTCTTCCTTTGGTAACTTTTCACTCTCCACCCACTACCAGGGAGGAACAAAAGCAATTAATCTCCTCTCCTCCTTGTATTCATCCCCTTTCTTCTCATCTCTCCCTGCTAGGGCATCTCGATGCCAGGATCCAAGCTGCCCCTTGTAGACCCACTTGCACTGAAGGTGTTCCTATGTGGTGGGTGAGCTTACTGCTCCTTGGATTGCAACATATTCTCTTGGTCAGCAAATGCCATTCTGCCCCCATTGGCTTCCTGGTAGCAGCAGCCCCTTACACCAAGGGACAAAGCAGCATTTGACGTCTCTCGTCTATAGATTTGTTGTTACTAAAAATATTCTCACAGCCATATTGCATCTCATTCCCACCTGAAGGGTGCAGTGCTCCTTCACAATCTGCTCAGTCGCACGTCTAGGTCTAAGGGTTTGCATTTGCATATGTCACAGGCTTCCTTTGCTGCTTGCTGGGGCTGGAAAAGCATGAGAATCTTGTCTCTTGGCACTATTTTAGTCCCGGGATACTGGAAATACTGTGAAGAGACCAGATGTCATTTTATTTCAGGCCCATAAATAGCTCCCTGCAGCATTAAAAAAGCTGGTGAAGGGATAGATCGAACTCCCAGATATGGAGCCATTTGGTTTTAGTTGGGTTTGACCAAAGGACACTGTTCTTTCTGGACACTGAAGGAAGTATTCCAATAGGACACACATTGCAAATAGGGCCTGATTTTCCTCTCCTAGCAATTTGATGCTGGGTACTGGCTTCACAGTAGGTTACTTCTGATTGACACTGTGCGAAGTGAAAGTGGACCTGTTTGAATGGAACACTGCAAAAAAAAATCTTTTCGGGGATCCTTTTTAACCTGTTATCCATTCTGATCATGCTATGTGTCTAGATCTTGACATGAACTTTGATGGACTCATTCTGCTCTTGTACAAAAACAACTCCATCAGAACACAGTGGAATTACTCCTACTTTACATCAGTGTTAGAGGGGAAAACTGGCTTGAAGAGAGCAGCATGCAGGTCTTTAGGACTAAATCCTTAATGGTGGGTGCAAATTCTTGCAGCTCCATTGAAGTCAGTAAAGGAACGGCAATGTACATCAGCTTAGGACTTGTCCCCAAGAGTGGCAGGATGTAGCTCAGTGGTTGTTTAATAGGCACCAGACCCCAAGGCACTTGTTGATTGTTGATGTTGGAGGCTCTTACGCTTTCCTACATTGTGTTTTTGCTCTAAATACAAAGATTTGCATTTCATCTCTCAATGATATTGCCATCCAGACACTGATTTTCTCTGGGCTCCTGTGCCTGCCTGTGGATGCCAAGGGCCACTTTCATCCCATATTGGGTGGAAGGAGCAGGGCCTCTCTCAAGAGAAGAGGAGCTTCTGTAGTGCAGCGGCCCAGGCAATGAAAAAAGCTGTTTGTGTGGATCTGAGTAGCCAGATATGGAGCTTCCCACTTGACTAGATCAGTGCTTCTGCTGGGGAACACACTCATTCATTGGAGTCCAGAGGCTATCTCAAAAAATCCATCACTGTGTCCAGCAGTAATAAGAATTAATGTTGGCAGCCTCAGTGGGGAGGCCAAAGGCTGTTTGATATGGAAAGGCTTCCCCCTCTCACCCTTACAGGTGTTTCTTCCCAGATAAGGGTGAGGTTCACTGGGAGGAGAGAAAAAGCTGGCACCTCTCTGCAAGCACAAAATCTGTCTTCTTCACAAGGAGAGGGATCCTGTTTCTAGCCTCTGTCTTCCTTAAGCATTAAGATTTAATGGGACTGTGAAAACAAATCACCACTACCGAAGGGTCACCACAAAAAACGGACCCTTAGAAGTAAAGCAAGTCCAGGCTTCTCTATGCCTGGTCCCTAACAGTAATGCAGCTGTGAGGCTTGCAGCAGTTCCTGTAGATTGTGGCTGTGCTGAAAGGGGTTGTTTTGCAGAAGGAGGAGATGAGCATCAGTGTCTCAGAAGCATCACTATTGCTTCAGTTCTCCTCTTGGATACAGTATAGAAGGAAATTAAGAGTGAGGGAAATTTTTATTTGGGTGTCAGGAGGGACATGAAATTCCAGTTCTTGATTCTTTGCCAAGGGTCATTTTCATCCTGTGTGGATCAGAAACGACCAGAAGATAATCTTGATCCCTGACTATGTAGCTCTATTCACAGCATACAGCTCCCTGCTTTAAATACTAAGGCAACCTGTCTCCTGCCTTCTGCTGTATCAACTCCTTCCATGTTGGTTGTTTTTCTTATGCAGTTGTGGAGGACATCAACAAGCGCCGAGAGCCCCTCCCCAGCCTGGAAGCCGTGTATCTCATCACCCCATCTGAAAAGGTGAATCTCCAGCATGCGGGTATCCTGTGTTGGGGTCTGACGGATGTAGGTGTCCAAGTGTGGCACCTGTGCTGCATGGGATAGCTGGCAGTGCTGTAGGTGGCTCTTACAAGCTTTAGCTATGATAATACTAAAGAGTCCTGGTGTGCAAGCTAAACTGATGTGGGTGTGCATGACCTGATTCAGGAAGAAGACTGAAGATCCTTCTGGCTAATGCTACGGTGTTTGCAATATGTTTCTTACTTGTAAGAGAGACTTAGCAAAATTACAGTCACATGGGTGAAGTGGTTAGCCCAGGTCAGCTGGGATTCCAGCAAGGTCACTACATTGCCTTGCCTGTGCTGCTTGGACACACAGAAATTACCAGATCACATCGCACTAATTGACCACTATTCTAGGAACCCTGGTCTTGTTCCATATATATGGTGTGCTTTTTGGTTCAGTGATAATAGGCGAGCAGATTAAAACACCTTGCATTAGTGCCTTCCCTGGTGTGACTTCAGCAATGTCAGTTGGCATGTAGGTGGCCATGATCCTGTTAGCATTGCCCTTGTACTCTAGCAACCTTAAATTTATCACAGCTATGCCCAACTAGGGTGTCCAACAGTTTGAGCTACTTCTCCTGTAACTGAGTAGCACTATAGCTGAGAGCCCCTCCCCAGCTAGGAGGCCATGTATCTCATCACTCCACCTAAGAAGACAGATCTCCAGCATGGGGGTATCTTGCACTGGGGTCTGATGGATGTAGGTCATGACTACAGCCAGCCCCCAGGAACTACTCTTCTTTCTCCTGCCTGCATTCATAAAGGGCAAAGTCTAAGGTTGAGATTTTTCATGCCAACTCAAGGATCCAGCCACCACTTCCACTGGAGTGAACTCATTTCAACTTAGCTCCTTTGTCTCCTTCAGACTGCCCTGAAGTTCCTTCGTGCTTCCACTGTGGAACACACCAGACAGGCACTGACACCGAGAATGAGTAAATATCCATCTCCTAAGACAATGGATTGCAGCTAATGGTTAATTCTGTAATATGTAAATCATATGCGATTGAGACCAGCCAGTGCACACCAATCCTGATCTATCTGTCATACTAGCCACATCTGGGTTTCTTTGACTTTTCTCTTGCAGTCTGTCCGTTCACTCGTCAACGACTTCAAGGATCCCCCTACCTCCAAGTACCGGGCTGCCCACGTCTTCTTCACTGACTGTAAGTAAGCTGCCACCTTCATGAGATCATCTTCATTTCCCCCTGCCTGATCTCCAGCATCTAATAATCAAGGCTCCCAAACACACACTGACACCTCCACTGAAAAGGAAATGCAGGAGCACTGCAAGGAACAAGCATGCATTGCTTGCAAAAGATTCAGAGCAGCTTTTGCCTGAGAAGGAATCCTTGAAATCAGAGTTAGGGAAACCCCTGCCAGGGAACCTAATTCATTCTCTATCCAATGCATGTCTCCTTGTGACAGTGCTTCGTCGAGTCTGATTCAAATGACTCATGCAATGGAGCTTTCAACAGTTACTTCAGGAGACTGTTGTGCAATCTAATAAGGCCTCACTGTTAAGAGACATTTCCCGATACTGAGCCTTTGCTCAGATTAATCTTATTGCTCCTAGTCATACACATGGGATCTCAGGTTTTGGAAGTGGAATATTCCAAGAGGAGTGGTGCTGGCTTCTACCCTGGGGGTCGTTAAGAGGAGGCTGGATGAACACCTTGCCGGGATCGTTTGACCCCAGTACTCTGTCCTGCCATGGTAGGGGGTCGGACTCGATGATCTGCTCAGGTCCCTTCTGACCCTACCAACTATGAAACTATTTCTGTCAAGATCCCTATCTATTTAGTTCATCAGGGGCTAAACTCACCCCAGTAGCATAACCCCATTCAAGTCAATGGGGCTGCATCAGGAGTTAAAGTCAAGGGCCACATTCTGCATCCATTACACCAATGTAAAACTGGTGCCACTCCCTTGACTTTAGTGGAGACTCAAAGCAGAACCAAATGGCTTTTGGCACTGGACACTGTGAGCCAAATTCAGCTCTATTAGGCTGCTGTAAATGGTGAGTAACACTGCTGATGGTGGTAACATTACTGCAGCGTTATGCCATGTCACAGATGGGAATCAGGCTGCATGTCACCCTTGTGTATTATTTTCTTGCATTACTTCAGATGAGAGGATGGCCAGGGTAGTGGGGAGGGGGGAGGGGGGGGGGAGTGAGTGGGAGGTCAGCAGAGAATACTCCATTGTACTTCAGCTTAGCCTGAAATTCTCCCTGGCTGTTAAAAGAAACTTGGCCCAAAGCTATAGCAGAGCCCAGGAGACAGGTTTACAAAAGAGAGTGAATAGGATTATGACACATCACACAAGAGCACAGCTAGAGAATTTCAGCATGGACACTGTTCGCACACAGCAATAACTAACAGTCTCAAACTGGGATGCAAGCTGGTGAGTCACTGTGGCAGGGGAGGGAAAAGCTGACCTGGTTTTCTTGACCTATTGGAGTGTGTTAGGGCATTTCAGCCCTCAGCTCACAGAGGAGACTAATGCAGCCTCGGCACTTTGGTTCTGAGCAGTATCTCCTGCAATCAATGGACCTCATAGTCCTCAAAGGAATTTGGGGCAGGCCTTTGTTTGATACTGGTATAACCTACAGGAAAAGAGCATCAGCTTCCTAAATAACAGGTGTTTCTCCCCTCAGTGCAAGTCACTCCGAGGATTCAGAGTGATCCTCCATCTCCTCCCTTTGTTCTCTTTACTTTCTGTCTCTCTCTCATACCTCTGGGGCTTTTCAAGGCAGACCTCCTGCCTTTACCATTGCCCTGGGGGGTTTCTGTCTATCAGGGCTAGTTTTATGACTAACAGGAGGGGGGAAGCCCAAAGCTGGTGGAAATTTGTTACCACTCCATTCTTGCCATGGGAGGGGCGTTCAGCTGCCTCTTTTTGTGCTACCACCACAAGGGAGCATGGATAATCTTGGAGAAGCCGCATGGCTTAGTGGCTAGGGCTGGACTGCGACCCAGCAGTCCAAGTTCTGTTTCTGGCTCTACCATGACCAGCAGCTTTGGGCAAAGCCCTTCCCTTCTTGCTTGCTGTGTCTATTTTGATTCAAGCATTCTGGGTCAGGGACTGTCTTTTACTGTGGATATGTAGCACAATAGGGCCCCAGGAAATCCAGATTTTCTTCCCAGCACCCCATGCCCACCCTCTCAGCAGCTAGCCTGTAAGAAGAGGCTGTGGGTACTGGGCTCCTGTATCTAGGCATTTATGCCATGCCCACTGCCAGGTGATGCAATTGCCTTCTAGGGAGGCCAAGTTCATTTACAGTGTGTGGAAAATTGCTTTGCGATCTCGGGGTGCACAGTGCCAGAGAAGAGGTATGAATACTGTGGGGCCTGCCTGCAAATTGCTGTGTTTAGATTTTTTAAATTCAGTGCCTGGTTGTGATCTGGCTTTTGGCCTTTGGGCATGTGGCACCCAGGGATTTAAAGCCTCTCTTGAATGATCTGGTTCTCTTCTCTCCAGCTTGCCCTGATGCCCTGTTCAATGAACTGGTGAAATCTCGCACAGCAAAAGTAATCAAGACCCTGACGGAAATCAACATTGCCTTCCTCCCCTACGAGTCTCAGGTGAGTCCAGGGCAGGAGAGCACAGCAAGAAACAGCAGGGCTTGCTCCAGCCATCCATTCGGCCAGGTCCTGGGGAAAGGTATGGGAAACCCAAAAGTCACCTGTTCTAGGTTGGCTGGCTGGAGACTGTGGTCGGG